CAGAAGAACATGGCTACATAATGAAGACACCAGAAGCTGTATCCTGTCCTCCAGTCAAGCCACTGCTTGATGAACCAGAGCTCATCACCACCATAGACACTGGGTATAGATGTAGCTGCAGATCTGTAGCGTTATGGTTTTATATATTTGTCTTTGACCATAATTAACGCTACAGATCCTGTAATGCAAAAAAGATGCATGCAAATAACGGCGCAATATTTTTTGCGCGCTTTGGAGGGGAATTACCCACTTTCAAGTATTGGTCAATCAACCACCTTTCACTACCTAATTCTAGACACATTCTGTAGCCAATATGTATATTTTATACACCTCCCAACCCTTTATACTCGTCTCTACAAGTGATAAACTCGCTTGATTAAAATTATTAGTTATATACTTCTAACGACTTCTAACGACTTTATTGCCTGAAGAGACAACTATAAACGGTTGAAAGGTGGATAAAAAAGACAAATATATAAAATCATAACGCTACAGATCTGCAGCTAGATAAGATGTTGACCATTCGTGCAATTAAAAGAAAATGTCTGCTTTGAGAGTTTATTTTATCGCAATTTTCGCATATCCTTAATTGTACAGGGGCGTAGCAAGCGGGGGGGGGGGGGGCTGGTCCCCCACTTTTTTTTCCCAACCTTACTGTTACTATAGGAAATGTTAATTGAAAACCTGTGTATTGCCAACCCCCCTTTTTAGACTTTTTAAGTGATGTACCTAAAATGGAGCATTAGAATTGGTTACGTACTGAAAGTATTTGACACCGAGAAAAAGTTCACCTACACCCCCCCCCCCCCCTTCCGAAATAGGATTTCTGACTTTTGGCAAACTCTTTTTTTGCTTGTCAACTTTTTTCAGTTCAGGTAAGTACGCTACGCTCCATTCAATGTGCGAGGTACGAGTCCGATTGATGTTACGCCACTGCATGTTGCATGAAGTCACCCGTCGTTAAAACTTAGAAAAACTGATCTGAAAATACCAGGTACGCGTGTATAGTTCATATTATAATAAACGTCTACAAAATTAAGGAAGAAAATATTTCAAAGACTTTTCGTATAGACAAAAATATGATGATATATACAAAGCTGGAGTTACAAGATAGACAGGGTGATTCTAAAGTTCATTTTCATGGGTTTAATGACCATATACGGTAACTATTGTAAATAACACCCCTTAATTTTAATCTATTTTAATTTAAACGTACTCTCTACATAGAATGATATATAGATAACTGAGGCATTTAAATCATGTGACCTGGTAGCAGGTTAACATTTAGAATGAAGACAAGGAAGTAAATTGTGATGTACGGGATTACTAGTATCAGGGAGGCCATGTTGGATTTAGAGGTGATGCTAGATTATATTTAGAAAATTAAACTTGTTTAACTGAAAAACATTTCCAGATATCATTATTGATTTCAAGTCTAGTACATGTATAATACATTAGATAAATTGCATGAGAGGGCCACTTTAGATAGATTAGATAGATCATATTTATTTACTACATGAACTGTTTTGACTGTTATCTAACATTTTTTCATTTTTTTATCAAGCATAAGAAAAGTTTACACGCCAAATTAAAACTACAAATAGATCTATCCTTCCCGTTATTTCTAAACCGACACTGTCCTACAATTTTCTCTAACAAAACATAACTCTTACATTTTATTTATTTTAAAAATTGCTTAACATTTCTGTAGTCAGTGATCAATGCCTACATTTACTTTATACAGAGTCATCTGATTTTTGGCCAAAACCCCCAGTGATGGACCCCCTGGACAGAGCTCAAGTACTCCTCCTCTGTGACCTGTGTCAAAGAGCTGCATTACAGAGTCATTGTGAACTTTGTCAGATTAATCTGTGTAAGGCCTGTGTAGGGGAGCATCTCTCTGATTCATCTAAAGGACACAAAGTTGTACCATACAAACAAAGAAGTTCTACTCCTAATATTAACTACCCAAAATGTCCACAACACACCCAGAAACATTGTGAACTTTACTGTGAGAAATGTGACATTCCTGTCTGTTCTACCTGCATCTCCTCTGGGAAACATCATGGGCATAAATCAACAAATGTCTTACAGAATCCCAGCTTTATAAAAGAAATTTTAAACAATGATTTGAAAGAACTAGAAAAACAAATATATCCTACATATGAAGAAATTGCATCAGATTTAAACTCTGAAAAACTTAATTTGGCAAAACATTATGAGAAACTGACAACAGCTGTCACCAAACAAGGAGAAGACTGGCACAGAGATGTCAACAAACGAAAATCTGAAATTGATGAGATGAAATCTAAACACCTGGCTGCTCTAAATAAACAGGAAAATGAAATCAAACAGATTACTTCTGATGTTACACAGAGCATTTTTGATCTGAAGAAAAATTAGATTCCAATGACGTCTCCTTAACCTCTGCCTATAAATCAAAGAATGCTGAGTTCAGAAGTTTACCTCCTAAAGTCAATGTTTTATTACCAAGTTTCTCTCCTCATCAGATCAACACAGAACTGCTCGATCAAATGTTTGGTTCTTTATCATCATTATTCATTACAACAGAGGAACATGGCTACATAATGAAGACACCAGAAGCTGTATCCTGTCCTCCAGTTAAACCACTGCTTGATAAACCAGAGCTCATCACGACCATAGACACTGGTAAACTATCGCTATACAGTGTTACCTGTCTCAGTGATGAAGAAATCTGGACCCGTGGACTTGACAAAATCATGAAACTCTACAACCTCCAGGGAAAACTACTGAAGTCAATCCAAACTAAGTCTGGGTACACACCACGTGACATAGCAGTGACAAGGAGTGGAGATCTAGTTTATACTGACCCTGATACAAGAACTGTTAACATAGTGAAGAATAAACAGATACAGGAATTGATCAGACTAAAGGTGTGGATACCTTACTTTGTCTGTAGTACCTCCTCTGGTGACCTCCTGGTTATCATGGACAGTAATGATAATAAACAAACAAAAGTTGTCTGTTACTCTGGCTCCACAAAGAAACAAACTATCCAGTTTGATAGTGAAGGTAAACCTCTGTATTCAAGTTTTCTTAGTAAATACATCAGTGAGAACAGGAACCTGGATATCTGTGTGGCTGATCGTGGAGTCTGTGCAGTAGTGGTTGTTAATCAGGCTGGAAAACTCCGATTTAGATACACTGGTCATCCCTCTACCAAAAAAGAATCATTTAAACCAGCCGGCATCGCAACAGACAGCCAGAGTCAGATCCTGACATCAGGCTGGGAGAACAACTGTATCCACATCCTAGATCAGGATGGACAGTTCCTCCGTTACATTGATAACTGTGATCTACAGCGTCCACATGGTTTATGTGTAGACACCAGAGACAACCTCTTTGTGGCTGAGTGTCACAGTGGTAAAGTGAAGAAAATCAAATATATGTAATCAATGTATTTTAATTAAATCACGACAAGTTTGTGATAGAATATTTTTCCAGTAGCAAAAATCACAAGATGTAAGTTTAATTCACTTTCTTAAGTGTTGATGTGTGCGTGTGTGAAAATATTTTCAATATTATCAATAAGGTATAATATATATAAATAAAAAATTCAATTATTAATAACAATCTTTTCAGAATTCTACCCAAGATTGAAATGACTTCTCAATAATAACATTACATTGGAAGAAAACTTCAATATTTCAAAATGACCAAATGAATACCATGTATATTTGCAAGCATGAAGAAAGAAGTATGATGTACATTTTTCAAGTTGATCCTGTTTCAAGCACTGCATACTGAAGGGTTGTGATTATACTGTACTTTTGATGAAGTTAGAATAAAATGCCCTTAGATCTAAAATAAATGCGCATACTTTTTAATCTAAGTTATATGTAATTTATTTAAAAATCTTAATTGACCAAGAAAAATTAACCACTTAATTTCCTTGTTTCTTCATGGATTCATTAAAACTCATAGGGCCCAAGATAACAATTAAGGTTTGACTGTATAAATAACCCAAAACAAAGATGAAAAATCTGATTCAGGAAACTTTTTATTGTGGATGTTTTCATTTTAATTCACATACATCTTTAATACATGGTCAAAAATGATTTCAACAGATATTAACAGTCTAGTCGAACCCTCAAACGAGGGTATACCTTCATAAGAGGGTTTTCCTTCCCCAAATGCAACGCTCGAAAGCGGAAGAACGATAACTCTTCTTATTTAAAAAATAAATATTATTTTTAAAATCATAAACATACAAAAATAAATTGTCTACACCTTTGTTTTCAATTGTAAAAAAATAATAAAAATGTTTTCGTCTTTATTTACGTCATTTCTGAGGCACAAAAGTTTGTTTACAGGACAGAGGAAATACGAACATGCACAAAGAAAGTGTCGAAAAATAATAAATAACACGCTAATTACACAAGATTTTTAATACCGGGGAAGGGAATTATATGTAGTTCAACTTTAAACAAGCAATTGTTTGTTTATTAATCCGTTTTATTAAATTATGAATAAAAAATCAAGTTGTATCAAGCATGGAGGTCAAGGCACAGAATACGCTAACTTTGGGGGAGAAAAAGTCTCGATTTTTACAATAAACATATACTTTTTCACAATAAAATCTCTTTAAACATCTTTTATTAATCAAATTTGAGTACATACAGAGCTACGAAATAATCCATCACTTTGCACGAGCATATTTTGTGGACCACACGTTTTTCCGTGAAAACGGCATTTTTTGAGTTTCTGCGCATGCGCCGTACCCCCGTTTGAGGGTACGGATATCCAACATCCGTTTGCCCCCGTTTGACGGTTCGACTAGACTGATTAATGCACCAAGTTCCATTGGATATCAGCTCAATAAGGCCACTGTCAGTAGAACGTAAATATAGGATCTCTCATGGTTTGTGGTTTGATATGATTTTTATCCAACGAGTTGTGTGTTTTCTATCCCCGAGCCTTGGCGAGGGGATAGAAAACACACAACGAGTTGGATAAAAAGGTTATATCAAATTTTATAGACAACATTCAGATTATTTCACTATATGTAGCCACAGATATCTGTTTTTAAAACTCATCAGCTCAATCCCCGTGGTGAGCCCCAATTGTCTTCTTACTCTCCTTATGAGGGCCTCCACAAAGCTGTAGTGGGTCCTGGACTTATAGTATTCCTAAACAAACAAGCAAATAGTGGATTAATGGTTTATATAAATCCAAAGACATTTTTCATAGGTGATGAATTAAGCATTCACAATGCTCGTTTTACGGTACTTCAAACATCAGTGCATTAGCCAATCAAAATCTGTTTTACAACAATCGCATTGGAATTTAATTCCTATACATATATATCCCTCTGTAAAACTTTGATCGTCTATTTGATCGTCTATTGAACCTTAGGGCTCATGATTTGAACAAACTTGAATTTACACCACCTGAGAATGCTTTAATTTCACACAAACATGACCAATCACTGCTTTGCTGTTCTTAAAAAGCATTTTTATAGATTTTCCTAAAAAAAATCATTGGAAAACTTTGCTTGTCCATACACGATTGTGGCCCCACTCTACCCCCAGGGTTTCATGATTTGAAGAAACTTGAATCTACGCTAACTGACAATGATTCCAATCATATGAGTTTAATCTTTCCTGGCCCAGTGATTCGATCTTGAGAACGATTTTTTTTTAAATAATGCCAATAATTTTTCACTAATTCGTAATTATCTCCCCTTGAAAGAGGGTGTGGCCCTTCATTTGAGCAAACTTGAATCTTCTTTACCTAAGGATGCTTATAATGGCAAGTTTGGTTGAATTTGCCTGTGGTTTTTGAGAAGAAGATGAAAATGAGGATACATACATGTACATACTTTGAACATTTTTTAACTAAACTTTAGAAAAACAATACTACCATAAAAATGACATAATGAACAAAATCTGCTTCCACAAGTACAAAATTTAACATAAACATAATAGTATTTACCTCTTGAGTTAGCGTGAGTCAGTTAACCGCTGTAGCTAGAGCTAGTTCACGTAGAGCAGGGAGACTTACACTCCATGGCTGTCTGTCTCGTAGAATTCCGTGGAAAACTTCTCCGTGAGATAAGATAAACTGCATCACCTATAACAGCATACGACAGTAGGAAGTCACATTGGAGGACACTTCTAAAAATACCACTAGTTCCAAATGTCTTTCCCCACAGGATTTCGTGAGATCCAAACTTGAGTTGTTTTTACTTTCTCAGATATACAGTACTTTGGCATCAATGCCAACATTTGTCTCTCAATCCAACCTTTTGACCTTTTAATTACTCTAATTCCAATGGGTCAAGGTCATCAAATATCCGCATCTGGAATGCCTGTTTTGTACAACATTAGAAACAAAGATACATACATAGTTTGAACAATTTTTAAGGAACTTGTGATAAACAATAGTGCAAGTGAAAATTTCATAATGAACAGAATCAGCTTTGACAAACATAACAGTATTTACCTCTGGAGTTAGCTCGGGTCAGTACCGCTGTAGTTAAAGATAGTTCTCGTAGAGCTGGGAGACTTAAACTCCTGGACTGTCTGTCATCTTTAGAATTCTGTGGAAAACTTCTCCGTGTGAAAGATAAACTGCATCACCTATAAAAGCATGGAATGATGAACCACTGTAACATGTTTGTGGGGGTCTGATATTTCTGGATTCCGTGGGTCACTCTTACCCATAAAATTACATTCCCATGACAATATTTTTTTTAATGTATCAATTACTCGATTCTAATCTATTTTTAAGTATGCTATGAAATTATGTCTACAAGAATGTGTAAATTGATACTGATACCCATAAGTCAAATGCATGACAATATTCTAATTGATATGCAATACTGTTACTAGGGAACTTAATCTAAATAAAGCTTTGAGTCCATGAGGGGATCTGCATTAAAAAAAATCATAGCTGTACAAACTATTCACCTGATTGCCACAGTCCTGGTTTTCTATGGCCATTGAGGTCAGCATGGCCAGACAGAATTTGAGGGCGGCAAAGAGAAGTTGATGATAGCGGGCCATGGGGCTGCATGGGCAGGAAGTCCTCCTCTGTATCTACACCGGCTTCATCTCTGTAAAACGTACAATACGGTCAATAATCAATGCAAGTATGAATTGCTCGGGCAATACTTACAAAACTTTTAATCCTCATTCAGTATATATACAAACCTCCAAACTGTAAATCCTAAACTGCTATTAATAATTTTGTACCTTTTCATACGTACTTTGGCATGTTTGATTTCTATAAACATTCAGAAGACCCTGACACACCCACCTGTCCAAAGTCAGGTCGAAGGTCAAAGAAGACACATCCAGCCAGTCTCTGCATGACTCCATACTGTAACAAGGTGTGGGCCCCCACGGCTGACTCTGCCACCCGAGTCAACAAACTGAAACACAGTCACTTTGTTTTTATATGTTAGAGCCCTTAAATTTCATATAAATTTTGAAAATCAATGGACTACTGCATGCTAAATCAAAAATTTTGATTGAGTTACAGATAAAAATTTTATTATATGCAATATGACAAATGTGGGGGTAAAATAAGACAGTAATGGAAGACCTACAACTTTGGACAGATAGATCGATGTACAGCACTCCTCCTTACCCGTCCTACGTATATCATGTCCATCACACGCGTCGCGACACATATTGTCCATAAAGTTGTCGCCGTATGACAGAATGGTCGCCACATTTTCCCTGCTAGCTCAGCTGTTTCTACTCAGAGTGGGCGTCGGCCAAAATCCTCTTTCCAACCCCATCACCTCCTACCTCTGTCAGATAAAGGAAACATCATTATCAGCCTTTGTCATATAGTGTGGCAAATCAGTGGTTTTTAGTAAAAAAATAATTAATAAAGAATATTTATCTCAAATTGTTTTGTAGTTCTCATTGCCATTATTGCACTTTTCACTTTGCATGTTTAATGCTTATTCTGACTGGCTGACCTTGTCGACCTTTGACATTACGTGTAACGTACCGTATATTCTCGCCTATAAGTCGGTCCGCCTTGTATTTAATAAGCTTGTATTTCAGATGAAAAGACCTCATAAAATACCATTCTTTTTATAGCTCGCCTATAAGTCGGACACAGAGTTTTGGACCAGAGATTGACTCCCAAAAAACCGACTTATAGGTGAGTATATACGGTTGTTTTATTGGCCAGCGGTTTTGGTGGTACGTTTTCTATTGTTCAATGTGATGTGCGGGGGCACTTCCTTCTCACAGGGACAGCCAACGATACCGGCTGTGAGACTGTCAAGTCTGTCTCGACCTTTACATATTCAACAATATACATTATTTTGTGTTTTACAAGATTTCTATTCGAGTATAATTAGTATACAGACCACATTCAGTTCAGTATACATGTGTACATATAATATTTGAACAATTTGTTACCAGCTTCTTGTAGCAGTCAGCCTAATTCCATAAATTGGTACGCTATAGGAATTATTACTTGTTTTTTACATTTTTTATAAACTTTGATAAATTATTCAAACTTACGTACATTTCTATCTATAACACGATTTGGTAATTCTGTAAATCATAAGAGTTATTTCCCTTTTTACACATTCATGAAGAACTACGAACTCTAACTCTTGATTCCCGCCTACATTTTGCACTCATTAAATTCAATATTAATGGCAATCTGGCCATTAAATCTTTGTTAAATACAAAGAAAAGTTCTATGGTAATTGATTAATCATTTTAATTCCAGTGCTAGATAGTAAATTATCATAAATTCCAGTTCTTGAAAAAAGGGGGGTAGACGATATTTTCTAGTGAAATCGAACTTTCAAGGATCACCATATTTTGAAATAGTTTTAAATATGATAAAATGTATCTAATATCTTTTCTTATGTTTTACGCAAATAATTAAAACATATATTAATTAATAAAATACAATTATTTAGTTGTAAATAGCTTTAAAATTGGTGAAAAATCAGCATTTTTTCGTTTTTTGTCTATAAACATATGTTCCCCCCCCCCCCGTGAAACACCAAAAGCTTTGGCATAAATTTGTAAAATGACAGTCTATATTACCTGTAAAAAGGAATTTTTGTTTCATGGGGGGGGGGGGGAAGATGTTTTAAAAATATTTTCCGTTTTCCGTTGATTTCTATAGTAAAAAACACAAGTTTTGCCAAAATTATAGATTTATCTCTCTTTGATATCCCAAATAAGTAACGTTTTATTAAAATTCATATAATTATCTATAAAAATTTTGAAAATCATTCTAATATGTTAACTTTTGAAAATTGACTTAGAGGTAGGCGGGAGAACAATACTATCGTTCGTGGTTCTTTGGAACATTTATAACCTGTTAAATCTATTTTATTTAAATCCATGTCGATGTATGAGGACTGCATTAAACTGAATACAGTAAAACACGTTTAGTACGAACACGGATATAGCGAATTCATGGATATAACGAAGTTTTTCTACCTCCCCGGCAAAATTCTTAACAAATCTTTGTAAAACTTTACGGTTATAACGAACTCTAATATGACGAATTTACGGATATAGCGAACTGATTTTGAGTCCCGTAGAGGTTAAATATAATGCATTTTACCTCTTTTATAACGAACTTTCAAAGATTTCAAAATTTGAATAATTGAACTGACTTTATTTTCTCTCAGCATTTGTATATAAAATTCAATTCATAATTAAACCTTCGAAGGTATGTTTTGTAATATCTGCTACCCTAACATGTTTGATAGTAACACTTGAAGGAAAAACATGCATATTACGAATTCGCTATATATGGTTATACGAATTCGTTATACGGATATAACGAATTACGGATATAGCGAAATAGATTCATAGGTCCCCAGGACTTCGCTGTAACCGTGTTTTACTGTATACTGTTTGATGTCATTTACTTATTGTATTTTATTTCTTATAGGGCTGATATTTTCACTTTATTGATTGTTTATATGTGGAACAAGATTCCAGGCAATAAAGAATCAATACCCCAATACACTGTGTTCATCATTTATCAATATGACACAGTCACAATAGTCGTTTATGTTTTTATTTCATATAATATCTCACTTGAAGAGCATGACTGTATTTTATAAATTACATTCAATTTCACGTTGATCCATGAATGCTGCAAAGAAAAAGCAAAATCTGTGGAGTTTTGTTGACATTCAGGCTTTGACATCTTACTTTGAATTAGGCTATATTCTTAAACAAGACACATGACATCTACTTAGACATACCTGTATCTATGTGAGTCAGTGAATTGGGTTTCTGACGGCAGGGCCCATATAGATTGGCTCTTACCCTCTGCTGGCCACCACCTTAACAGAATTAGATATTGATTAAAATTTCTTAGTTTTGTACAAAGTTGTTTGAAATTATAGTTTTATAAACACGCACTTGAAAAAATTCTTTTCAGCGAAAAATTATGTACATAATTATACACTTCAGATATTTCAATGTTTTCTTACTTGAAAGCAGGATGTGATCTATCACTCTTCTAAGCACCAGTTGAAGGGAGGAAGAAATTTGGGTTCGTGGGTAAGTTACAGGAGTTACTTATGCCCATTGGTAAGGTCTTGTCGAAATAAAACCCACCTTCTACTCTTAAACCCAACAATTTGCGATCTAATGGATAGACTGGAATGATTTTAAAGGCATTTTTAATATCTGTCTTTGCAAAAAAGACTCCACTTCCAAGTTGTTTTAATAAATTATCGATGGTTTGATATTGAACCGAGAAAATATCCTGCGGAATCCCATCATTTAAAAATTGTTCCTCGGGATAAGATAAATGATGTATTACTCAAACTTCCCTTTCTTGTTTTTGGATACTAAACCTAATGGTGAACACTGAAAATTGTTGAATGGAGCATTTTTGAAAGGTCCCGCTGCTTGACCACTACGTACCTCATTATTTTTTTTTCTTGAAAATAGATAAATTTTAATCAGCTGATTTTAAGTTATTACAAAACCTCTGCACACGAACACTTTGAAAAGGAAAATTTAAATTTTAAGCCAGAGAAAGACCTAATGGAGATTAGTTCTTTCTATCACAGAATGGACAGTTTGAGGCCTTTCTCCTTTTTAAAAATGGAATCTCTTTTTCTGAAAATTTAACAAAAAATGTGTAAAACAGGTAGAGAACATACAATAAATTCTTTGTTTACGCGATGGACAGTTACAGGTAAGCTTGGGGTGCACAGCGATTAGTTGAATAACCATAATGATTGTGTTTCAAGTTGCAAATAACAAAATGCCTTTGTTTAAGGAATGGACAGTTACAGGTGGATTTCAGGGGATGCTAGTTTCTATATAAGAAATCAGTTTATATTTTGCGTTGTAAAGGCAAACATGTTTCCCTCCGATGAAGAGAATATATGACAGAATCGAAATCGAAAGCAAAAGATGCACACAGCCAGTGTTACTTTAACCTCAAAACAGAGAACAGTATCAGCGTAAAAAGAAAATATTAACCAATCTTTTATCCCCTCAAAACTTCAGCCACAAATACCGATATTTCGAATTTAAACCGGAAATCTGTTTAGGATATATTAATTGCAGCAATGTAATATAGTGAATGCAAATGTTCCGAATGTTGGATAGCCATGGGTCAAACTTCGACCTGAAAACGTATATCAAATCAAATTTGGCAATGTTTCAATTTTGATTATAAACATTTGCTACCGAAAAAATCACTGCAATAGTGTAGTTTTCATGGTGCTAACTGTTTTCTGGGTGATGGATTTAATATAAGACTACTTCAAGTTCAAAATGGATTCTTCTTGAGGGAATGATGCTTCCAAAATCTTAATCAAATGTGAAATGGTGTCATTTAAATTCAGGTTTTGTGAATTGGAATAATGTACATTACTCACGGATTTAAATGTGTAAAATCGAACATATCTGATGCAAACACTGTGTTCTTGATTAACTTATATCTCCAAGTTCTTTTTGGTATTCACATGTACATTAAATTGTATTTATTTAATATATTAATTTGTCATGTTTCTCACTTGTGCACATGCTAAAGTTTACGTGTAACTCTTCATTTTGTTTGTTTTAACTGTCCATTCTGTTTGTTTTTAAATGTCCATTCTTATTGAAAAAACTGTCCATTCTTAAAAGGAATGGACAGTTTTCCAAAAAGAACGGACACTTACAGGTGATTTAATGGATTGTTAGGGGAGTTAGCTCAACACTAAGCTATAGAATGGATAACACAAACAAAAGGTTTACGTCACAATCATGTTTTAACTGTGGATAAAGCAAGTTGAGTTTTATGGATTGATAGTATCATGGAACTTTATAGTAACGCTATTATATATACTTAGGTCCCTGGTATCAATCTCAACACGTGTGAAATAACTATATATAATATAATGATAACTTTATCTCTACATTGACAGAAAAAGATATGTCAGGTATTAAAATTACATGATGTGGTAACGGGGAAAAAAACTCGGATTAATAATACATTTTTGGGAGAATTTGTAGGATTATCAGTCAGGCAATTTTGGATCTTACGGTAAGACAAGATAATACATGTATTTAAGATCTAACACATTACTTAAACTGATTTGTTATTGATATAAAGTGTACATTAAGTGACGTATTAAAGAGGCACTTTTTGTCAAACTGTTCACAATCATATTACCTGTAAAATACTTTTTTCTTTTTGGATACAAAAATACAAACATAAGGTCACTTTATTAACGCAGCATTTATTTCATTCTAAAACTGATTTGTCATAAATTCACAAACAAAACTAGATTTCTCTATTGTGTTTGTTTGAATTTGATTAATATTTCATTTGTGTTGTCAGTGATCCAAGCGTATACTTCAAACTATTGTTTTCTCATACTCCCAGTGATGGAAGCCCTGGACAGAGCTCAGGCACTCCTCTTCTGTGACTTGTGTCAGAGAACTGCATTACAGAGTCATTGTGAACTTTGTCAGATTAACTTGTGTAAGGCCTGTGTAGGGGAGCATCTCTCTGATGCATCCAAAACACACAAAGTTGTACCATACAAACAAAAAACGTCTACCCCTAACTACACAAAATGTCCAAACCACACCAAGAAACATTGTGAACTTTACTGTGAGAAATGTGGCATTCCTGTCTGTTCTACCTGCATCTCCTCTAATAAACATGCTAGACATAAATTAAAAGATATTTTGGAAAGACCGTACTTGCTTAAAAAAACTTTGAACATGGATTTGATAGAACTGGAAAAAAGAATATATCCTACCTATTTAGAAATTGCATCAGATTTAAACTCTGAAAAAGTAAACTTGGAAACACATTACGAGAAACTGGCAACAGCTGTCATAAAACAAGGAGAATACTGGCACAGAGAAATTAACATCATTGTCAACAAACGGAAATCTGAAATTGATGAGATGAAAAATAAACACCTGGCTGCTCTAAATAAACAGGACAATAAAATCGAACAGATTGCTTCTAATGTTAAACGGAGTATTCTTGATCTAAAGAAATTATTAGAAACCAATGAAGTCCCCCTAGCCTCTACCTACAAATCCAAGAATGCTGAATTCAGAAATTTCCCTCCTAAAGTCAATGTCACATTACCAAGTTTCTCTCCTCAACAGATCAATACCGTACAGCTCCATCAAATATTTGGTTCTCTGTCAGCATTTTCCATTTTAACAGATGAACATGACTACACAATGAATACATCAGAAGCTGTTTGCTCTCCTTCAATCAACCTACTACTTGATGAACCGGAGCTCATCACCACCATAGACACTGGGTGTGATGATCTATACAGCGTTACCTGTCTCAGTAATGAAGAAATATGGACATGTGAAGATAACAAAAATATGAAACTTTACAATCTCCAGGGCAAACTACTTAAGTCAATACAAACGGGGTCAGGGGAAATACCAATCGACATAGCAGTGACAAAGAGTTTAGATCTTGTTTTTACTAACCCTAATACAAGAACTGTAAACATAGTTAAAAATGATATGATACAGGAAGTGCTCAGACTAGAGGGGTGGATACCTTACTATGTTTGTAGTACCTCCTCTGGTGACCTCCTGGTTATTATGAACAGTGATGATTACGAACAATCAAAAGTTGTCCGCTTCTCTGGCTCAACTGAGAAACAAACCATTCAGCTTGATAGTAAAGGTAAATCTCTGTATTCATCTGGTTACGTTAAATACATCAATGAAAACAGGAACTTGGATATCTGTGTCGCAGATTATGGCGTCTGTGCAGTAGTGGTGGTTAATCAGTCAGGAAATCTCAGATTTAGATACACTGGTCATCCTTCTTTTACCAAGGGAACATTTATTCCAGTCGGCATTACAACAGACAGCCAGAGTCAGATACTGACAGCAGACAGTAACAACCACTGTATCCACATCCTAGATCAGGATGGAAGGTTCCTCCGTTACATTGATAAATGTGATCTAAAGTATCCATGGGGTTTATGTGTAGACACCAGCGACAACCTCTTTGTTGCTGAGTTTAGCAGTGGTAAAGTAAAGAAAATCAAATACATGTAAACAATGTATTTTTAATAATGGCATATAATTGTGGAAGGATGTAGAAGGATTTTTTTAAAATCCATAATCACAAAAAGATTTAAATGTTTGATTCGAGTTCTCATTCTAGTACTCGTAAGGATGTGAGTGAGGGTGAGGGAGTGTGTGTGTGAGTGTTTGTAGGAGTAGAAGTATTTGGAAATATATTTTTAAAATAGCATAAATAAGGCAGAGAATGTACATCAATTTATCAATAATAGATGTATCATTTATTTTACCTAAGGTTGAAAACTTGATGATCATTTTATTATAGGGTTATGTAATTCATCCAATGATTTGATCAACCAAGATAAATCAATAAAACCCTTTCTTAGAAATTGTAAGAGGTCTGGACACTATATGCAGCACAATTATTGCATGGTATTGTGCTACTTGTAACGTGGTATCGTTACCAACCTCGATAATTTGATTTAAGACATTTGAATTTTGAGTGGTGTTGTTCACAATTACCATTTATACATGTGAGCTCATAATTTTGTTCTTTGAATCTGTATCAAATTCAGTAACCACAGACAGTGATCATGATATTTATTTAACAATTGGGACAGGATTTTTAATATTTTCACGAAGCACGAATAAAAATAACAAAATATCCTGTCTCACGAGTGAAATAAATAAATGTATTCAACTACAATACATTGAACTTTCTGTTTATAGCATTTAAAAAAATTCTTTGATTTTTCCTTTCCCTCTGTCTTTTTTAATACAGCCATATGTTCCTGACGTCATAGTTGAGCGGTTGAGGCGTGATATCTATATATTTACATTTGCAATTTTTCCCCTTATATAACACTATTTGAACAAGGAGTTTTTACATCTCCGTAAAACACGCATCTGACCATAAATTGATTGTTTATACATACGCGATCCACGTTGTTTAATAGTGACATCATAAGCGATGGACATTATTGACACATTCAATTTATACCGTTGAGTTTTGGAAAAAAAAGTTATGGGTTTCAAACTTTAGTTAGGTACGTTACTATTTTGTATTAAATAAGCCACTAATGTAAATATAAGTAATAAGGTATCATTTTTGAGTTTTATTAGGATGTAAAACACATCCCAATGAAACTAAAAAAAATGATACCTTATTTCTTAAGTGAAGTAAAAAAACAATGTAAACATGGATTTAGCAATTTATTTTTTGCAATTTTGACAGTTTTATTCGCTGTCGAAATGGTTAATTTATTTCCAACCTTATGATATGTTTTACGGTGTGACCGTTGGAGCGAACGCAATTATGCACTATTATAAACTTACACATGTACCGATTATCGTTCAAGAAAAAGACAGAAAAATTAAAAACAAAAAAAAATTACTTCCCAGCCATCGATCGGATCGAGATATTCCAAACTTCCGACAAAATCAGTAATACCGATACCTTAAACGTAAGAGTGACGAAAGTATGACGTCAGATTAAAAATCCTGTTGACTTGGGACGCAAACGATAGTTTTGTGGCATGGAGATTGCATTAAATAGTTGTTTGTAATTTATTTTTTAAAGTAAGTTGTTGCTATGATTTAGCCACTATTTTCCTATGCACCGCAAAGGATTATTGGGAGTTTGGAATTTTTAAACATGGACTCGATCATATAAATTTTTTGGAACAATGTGCAGATAGCATTCTGAATTTCCTCTGTTAGTACACGTTAGTGTATTGAGCTCGCCACGCGACTGGTGGCTTTGCGCCGTCTCGCTGCGTTCGCTATCAGGTCAAGAAAGATTTTTTACAGCAATCTTCGTTGAGGGAAGGGAAATCGAGAGTTTTCCCGCACTTCTGATATTCTTTCACACTGTTACAGGGTATCATTTTTATTCAATGAATAAATAACTGTTATGCACGGGTGAAAATGTTATAAGGCGTGCTATTATTATTAAACGAGGTTGGCCCCTGGTATTTAAAGTCTTAAACTTTAATTATCAAGTATATTTTTAGTTTCTAAACACATAGCTTAATTATTCAAAATCTTATCAAAAATGGGGGTTGATATACGTTTTAGGGGCTACAGTACATATAAAATGCCCTTTATGCAGTTTAGTTTGTGTCTTAATCAAAAATTACATCTTTAAAGTTTTCTCTCCAATATTTTTTCCCAATTTAAAGCATGGAACAAAATGACTTATGTTGACTTAAAAAAGACACTTTAAAATTTTGACATTTTATAAAGTTTCCAATTGCCTTGAATAATCAGTTATTTGACGTATTTCACAGCTAGGTTAAGGACTCCTAAAGGTAATTCACTCTATACAGAGCTTCGGGAAATCGATTATGACGTCAAGGTGAAACTGCACATACGAATCTCGGCGGTTAAATAATAATTAATCTTCTTTTCCATACACTTTTTATACAATGATTTCTCTTTATTATTGTCAGCATTAATTTATGTGTAACTTTTCTTGTCATTAAAACACTATTTGAATATAAAATTAAACCCAACTTGATCTCGCTGTACTGACAGATATTACGTCATAGACTAGTTTGACACGCAGTTTAGCTGCACTTGAGACGCAGATCGAACTTTTATTGAATATTGTTTTTAAGCATAAATTGGACATACATATACAAAGTTACATTCCTTCTGTGCTACATGATGGTCAAAAAATTTATTCCTTGGAAAAGCTCTAGTATTTATGGCTATCTTTACATCTGAATGCTGTAAACCAGCTTTTATTCGCGTTCGAGAAATTTTTGCAAAGTTCGCGAGAGTCTCGTCATCGCGAATATTTCTCGCCGCGAACCGGTCCTTATAGTATATTTGACTATTGAAAACAGATGCAAAAAGGCTTGATCGCAAAAATCAATCGTCGTAAACTAGTTTATCTTTAGTAAATCGCGAAATAAAGTCGTCGCGAATAAAATTTGTTTTACAGTATTCTGATAAAATTGTCCATGAATTATACTGCAACACCTTTAGAAGTATTTGCATATAAACATACTTCAGAACATGCTGCAATTTAACCAATTGAAATCCTATGAATTTGACTTCATGCTGATTTAGTTATTCCAGCATTTATTAACTTCTAGACGTCTTTGTAGCCAAATGTCTGTATTCATTTATGGCTTATGTTTTTGTCATTATACATGTATAATGCCATTCTATGAGTGAAATGATTTAAGCATTGCACCACCCACAAAGCTGTTTTTTTTTAATTAAATGATTTTTTACTTCGAAAAGTAAGAACTATAAAGTAATGTTTGTTTGTCCTCTCTGGATTCAGGGTAAAATTATTGGGTCGGTAGGTGAGAAAATCTTCAACATATACATATTTTAAGGGGATAAGAGGAATAAAAAGTATAAAATTACGGTCCTGCATTGAAAAAAAAGTTTTGAGTCTGGCCGTTTTAGTCAGAGGAGACTCTGGCACCCAAACAATTTTTTAAAGATGGCCTAACCTATTTCTACACTTTATGGACATTAGATCAATGATTGGGTTAGGTAATCTGAGAATCTAAATTGAAATGTCGGAAAGTAAGAACAAAATAAAGATGAATTAATATTTTAAGTGACAATAATTCATACTTTAATGAGTTTACAGAGTACTACTTATTTCAGAGAAAAGGCAATTGGTGAATAACAAACCATATTCAACACCAAAAGAGTCTATAATTGTATAATGTAAACAATGTCAAGATAAACTGCATGTATTTATGAAAGATTTTTATCTAGAAGAGTACTAAACTGTCTTATCATTCCTACTTAATGAACAACCTTACAACTTCCAAGTGTCATGTTTTAAATTGTTACAGTAGATAAAATTATACATGTACCTGTAACGTTATGTAAAAAAAACTTACCAGTTTTCCGAAATACGTATTTGAGCATATTAGGTACAGGTGATAACAAAATTAAATGAAACAAAAAATTAATTTTAATTGTTCATGTGTTAATTTCCTTGCAATTTTACAAACCCTTTACGAAACTTAACTTGTTAATTGTAGACAAAAGCAACCTTCAGTTAATACGGATGATGTATACATTCATTTTTATGAACACAAATTCTATTCCATAATCTTAAATCATATTTGTTCATTTTTACAATAATATTTGAGGAAGGAGAAAACTCAATAAAATGAATAAATTTCCAATATAATCAATGAAGAATCAATATGGAACTATTGTAAAATTTACAGATTGAATTAGTTGAATGCAAATGCTTAATAAAGAATGTATCTCTTTTTCATTAATTAGAAAATGAGATTTTAATAAAAATCAAACTTCGTGGCAGAAAAAAGGAAAGAACTGAACTCTGATTTGAAAAATACTATTGTGTCAATAAGGAATGAGGGATATACATTACAACATAATGCCGATACACTCAACGTTCGTCAAGGAACAGATTCCGATGTTATAATACGATTTCCAGAACTTCATACAGAAACTGGAGAAAAGCTTGAAAATGTTTAAGTTGAAAAACTCCTAGGTGTTCAGATAGATCAAAATCTTTAGTATAATTATCATGTAGATTTACTTTGTAAAAAGTTGGATTGCTCGATTTTCATATGGCGTCGTAAAGTCTCCCGAGTGCGTGTGCCCCCAAGCTCAACGAAAGGTCAGTGTTATGATTTGAGGGTGCATAACCTGGCATGGTGTGGAATTATAACAACTGTAGGTTTTACCACATTGTATTAAAAGCTAGACACAAGTATATCGAAATCTTGGAAAATAATTTATGGCCCGTTATAGCACGACACTTTCCAAATGGATTTTTTTAATTTCAGCATGACAATGCCCCAATACATAGAGTCAGGGATGTTGAAAATTATAAGGCTAAGAATAATATTAACTCTATCAGCTGTCCAGCACAGTCTCCCGATATTGAAAATGTGTTGTTGAAACTTTTAAAGACGATTACAATGTCGCGCTGAAAACATTCGGACTGCTGTGAACTTTCACATGCATAACACAGG